GCAGCAGCATTGCTGTGCCTGGTCCTTGCTCCTCCCCTTAGATTTTCATGTTCCCAGAGATTTTTACATCTTCATTTTTGTACCTGTGTCCTTAGCCAGGGATCCAACTCCATTGATTCCACCTAGTGATTCCAGGTCACACTTGCCCCAAAGAAAGCTAGCAGAAGGAATGATGGGAGGCCAAGTAAGGATTGCATCACCAGAGTCATTTTGGGAAGAACAGTAAGGACTCAGCCCACTCAGGGCACTGATGTGACCTTTGGGTTTAATGGAGGGAGAACTGAGGCAGAGGAAAGGTATGGGTAGTGCACCTGTCCTGGTGACAGCATGGTCAGCTTGGTCACTGTCTCAGTTCTGCATTGCAAGGTGGGTCCTAGAAGTCATAGTATTTGAGGGGACAATTGGGCACTGATCCAGGGTGCAGAGTCATTCCTGCAGGCTTGCTCTGACTTGTGGACAGTTTCTCTCCTGTTCCAGGAATGCAAAGTGACTCCAAGAGAGAGAGACTCAGGAGAGAAATGTTACATAGACAACGTAGAGCCATGGAGGGACAAAATGGAGTTGTCAGGCCAGTGACCTGTACCCTCCTTCCCATCTCCACTGTCAAGTCATCACTCCATTTCTTTGTGGGGAGGTCATTTTCTTCAGTAACCACTTCCTGCTGATGTGGGCAGGGTAGGAGTCAGATCTTGACAGGATGAGATTTTTGTTTTCTGTGTCTTTTCTTGGGAATGAGATAGGCTAGGTTATTACCAGTTTTTTAGACAAGACACCCTTTGAGTGATTGACATGCTTACGTAGAGTTAAACACCAGTCTGATCCAAAGTTTAAAGACAAAGGAGACAGATGCACAGTGACAGTAGAGACACCAGGTGTTGTCTTTTGTGGTGCTGGTTGCTCACTCGTGGGCAAGAGAGCATTCGGTGCTTTAGCAGAAGCAGTTTCTGAGGACCCATTATCTCTCCACGTCTCACCTAATTTCCGGGTCCGGGATTCACACCCTCATAGGTGAGACACAGGAGGTTTATAGCGCAGAGGGAGGGGGTGGAGACTGAGCTGATCCAGTGGGGGAGGGGTTCTCCTTGATAAAAACCAGACCAGATGATACAAGGCATAGATTTATAGCCTGTATGTCAGGCAGAAGAAAAAGAAAAGAATTCAGTGTGAGCTTTTCACACTGTAAACTAAAAGGTGACAAGTGGCAGAGACATTGCAAGACATCCACTTAAGAGTGTCACTAAGCTTTGGGAGGGAGCCAGGGGTAGGGCTGGCAGTGAATTTTCTTGTCTGCCCTACTTTGTGGCTCAGGGAGCCAGACAGGCCTGCAGAGAGGTGCTTTGGGCATGCACGTGTTTTCCTGTAGCAGGTAGCTGGGATGGGGTCACCTGTGTCTTGGCTCAATCAGGTGTCAGTCATGTATCCCAGATCATGCCTGTGCTGTGCTCTCACTGGGTCCCCAAGACACTTGCTTTAAATCTGATGCCACCAGTCCCTATGCTAGCCTGCTTCAGAGCCACCTGTCTTTTGGTACCAGTCAGGTGTCAGCCATGTGTCCCAGCTCTGTGCTGTCTAGGCTTTCACTGGGCCCCCAGGACACTGCTTTGCTTCTCCTTCCTATGTGTGCCCCCAGACCCACCTGCTCTTGCTCACCTGCCCTGATGTGGCCTGCCTCTCATTTGTTTTGTAGCAGGGAAGAGGGCCAGAAAAGAAGCAAACTGGTCTGTGTTCTGATAATGTAGCAGGGGGGAGGGGATGGCATAGCAGGGAGATAAAACTTAAAGAATCTGAATGTGAAGAAGGTCATAGCACTGGGGGTGAAGTAGCCAATAAAGCTGCATACAACCACATATGGGTTAAACCTTGCTTCTTGCTTCTGTGACTGCTTGCTAGGGTGTATAAGGCAAGGCCCTTTTGTCCTCGGGGCTCAGCCTTTGAATGTGAATCCACTGAGTCATGCTGACACACTAATAAATATTACTTCCTGAAAAGCCTTGGTGTCCATTTCCCCAATTAACTATGCCACAAGTGCCCTTCTGCCCTTGCAGGCCCCTGGCCCCATTCCTCCCTGCTCTACTTCTGATGTGCTTGACTGAGCCCAGCAGGCAAGGAGAGCCTCTTTGTCACTTCTCCTGGGCACATGGAAAATTCTTGGGCCAGCAACTTGCCCCTCTCCCACGCCTGCTTCTCCAGGTGCCATTTGGCTGTGTCCAAGGAGAGGGGGTGCAGCAGCAGGAAGTGTGTCTGTGTGGGAGGTCTGGCACAGCTGTCTTCTGTACTCACAAAGTTTGCTACAGGGCTTTCTGGTGGAGGAGAACAGGTTGGGGCACCTGGATAAATAGAAATGAATTCAAGATATTTGTGTGTCATGAGAGAGACAACACAACTCAGAGGTCAATAGGCAAGACAAAATTTTACTTCTACAGAAGGGTGTGCCACAGACAAATTGTCCAGTTAGCAAGCACACTGGGCAGGAAGTCCACTCAGGTTTTATCTCTAATACAAGTCTGCCCCTGCCCTGACTGAACGGGTTTTTGGGCTCACAATCTTTGTGACTGGCCACTTTGAAAGGGAGCACAGGAGGCTCAACCCTGAGTACCTACAGAGAGCTTGGGAGAGGTCATGGGCACTTTTAAAAAGTGTGTGTGCCTCTCGGCCTGTCACTACTTGGGTTTTCCTTTGCCATCCTCAGTGCCAAGGCTTGGGGACACAATGACATAGAGATTTCTGAGTTCTTTCACCCAGACCGTCTGCCTTCCCAACCCCCTAAGAAACCCATCAAAATGTACTGAGTTATTTGGTGCCTCTGTAGCATAAACCAAGAATTCAGCACCCACTGGAGTTGGACTGTGCCACACCCCATGCACGCTGAGCTTTCCCTGAACCTCCAAAACTGAGTTCTCTCTTTCCTTTTGATTTTTTATTTTTAAGTTTATTTTTGTGGTACGCAGGGCCTACACCTTGCGTCACTCCACCAGCACTTTTTTTGTGAAGGTTTTTTTCAAGATAGGGTCTTGAGAGCTATTGGCCTGGGCTGGCTTCAAACCGTGATCCTCCTGATCTCTGCCTCCTCAGTAGCTGGGATTATATGCGTGAGCCACCGGTGCCTGGCTGAACGCACTACTTTCTTTGCTTTCCGTGCCACACTCACTGACTGAGCTGCAACGTATAAGAAAATGAAAAAGGCCATTCTCTTCCTCTGACCTTGCCTGCTTGCTAAAATGAAAACTACACTCTGGGAAATGAGCAAGAATGTCTTAAAGGAAGACCATTACCCTGGAGGGAGACAGTTGGTTAAATGACTCCTTTAATCACAGAAGTGTTTCTAAAGAAGGGAAAAACTTATCTTAGAAAGGAAATGCAGGTTTGAAATGAGCAAAAGGTTAAACTCATCCTTTGTTTTCTCTCTTTTTGTTGTTTTGGTGGTACTGGGGTTTGAACTCAGGGCCTCCACCTTGAACCACTCCAGCAGCCCTTTTCTGTGATTTTTTTTTTTTTTTCTGAGATAGGGTCTTTCAAATTATTTGCTCAGGGCTGGCTTTGAACTGCAGTCCTCCTGATCTCTGCCTCCTGAGTGGCTAGGATTATAGGTGTGAGCCACTGGCACCCAGACAGTTTCTGTATTTCTAAACTCTGGCCAACACAGCCTTCAGATCCAGTATCTAGGAACCCCTCTCTCCTCCCCCAGGCCCGTGCTAGGTCAGCATGGAGATAGATGCTACTCAAAACCCAGGGGCTGCGGATGCTCCCAGGGTGGGAACAGAGGGGTAGCAGCCAAACCCAGGCAAGTTCAGAGCCTGAAAACCAGGGTCCCCAAATAACCAGTGGTGCCTTATTCCATGCCTGAGGTGAAGGAAAGGATGGGGGACCCTTAGAGAAGCTGAGGACCAACTCCTGGAACACCACAGAGAAACCTCACCTGAGTTTTTTTGGGGTGTGCAGAGTGGGACTGGGGTTTGAACTCAGAACCTCACCCTTGTTAGGCAGGTGTGCTACCACTTGAGCCACTCTGCCAGCAGCATTTTCACTATGATTATTGTCATTTTAACTTGTGAGGCTCCAAAGACATCTTCAATAGGGAAGGAGGTCTTTACCTCGATCTTGGGTACTATGTCTGTGACATTGTCACAAAAAGAATTTGGGGACACAATGAAGTAGAGACAAGGAAGTTTATTAGTAAACAAAGCAAAGAAAGGGTGGCACACTCAGAAATAGAGGTGGGCACAGGTAAGGAGAGGTGTACTGAGAGCTCAAACATCTGGGGTAAGAATGGAGAAAAGTGGGTTGTGGGCTTGGCTTAAATTCACCTTAGGATAAATATCCCCCTTTGTTCAGGACCCCTCTCTCTGGTACATTCAGTCATTCTTGCTGTTACACTCTTTTGACATTATCAATTTAGTTCCAGACATATCAAGTCTTGTCAGTTTACTAAATCTGGGTCATTGTGACATAGATGTTTTCCTTGACTCTTTAAACAAAGGATGAGCCAGGTGCTTGTGACTCATGCCTGTAATCCCAGCAGAGATAAGGAGGATTGAAGTTCAAAGCCAGCCCAGGGAAATAGTTTGTGAGACCCTATATGGAAAAATACCTTCAAAAAAACCCAAACCAAACCAAAACAAAAACACAAGGCGTGGTGGAGTGACTCAAGGCATAGGCTCTGAGTTCAAATCCCAGTCCTGCACACACACACAAAAAGAAATACAGAAACTTGTCAACTGGTCATGGGGACGCCCCAAGGACTAAAACCCCTCCCTCTGCCCCTTCCCCCTGCCAGAGCCATATAACTACTCAACCTGCAGCCTCAGATCTGTGTAGCAGCTGTTTGCATGGTCACACTTGCTGGCTGGCACACCTGACCTTCCAGTGGCAGCAGTGACATCTCCAACTGGCTTTGTCCTGCTGCATCTCACAAGGAAAGACTTGCCACTGTGGAATCCTACAACTCCCAGAGAAGGACCCTCACTGTCTTCGACATCTTCCACCCCTTCAAGTACTGAGCAATGTCTTCTTTGAGGCTTCAGGTGACAGGCGTCATCCTGGCCTTGCTTGGCTGGCTGGGCACCATATTGAGCTGCGCGCTGCCCATGTGGAGGGTGACAGCCTTCACCGGCAGCAAGTCCTCCCAAGGACAGATCATCTCAGAAGGCTTGTGGAAGATTTGCAATTTTCTGAACACAACCCAGATTCAATGCCCGGAATATGAGTCACTGCTGCCATTGCCAAAGGACCTGCAGGTGGCCCGTGTCCTCATGGTCACCTGCATCATTGTGGCTGCTCTGGGCTTGCTGTTCTCTGTGGTGGGGGGCAAGCGCGCCAAGAGGGTGGAAGAGGAGACCGCCAAGGCCAAGGTCACGACCAAGGCAGGTGTGATGTTCCTGATGGCAGGCCTTCTGGTGCTGGTGCCCGTGTGCTGGACAGCTTATAACATTACGTACAGCTTCCTCGTCTCTCTGGAGGACTCTGGGGAGAGTCAGAAGATGGGGACATCGCTCTACATCGGTTGGGCCGCCTCGGGACTGCTGCTGCTTGGAGGGAGTCTGCTGTGCTGCACTTGGGTGCCTCACCCCACCCACCAGCCCTACTCTGCCAAGTACTCCGCTGCCTGCACCGATGTCGTGTAAGGTGTGCTCGCTGCTCTGTCCCTTTCCAGTTGTTTCCGCTTGCACCCAGCTCAGTGCTGCCTGTGGACCAGTATGGCCCTGCTGTGAGGTGCTGACTACTGGGGGATGGATTGGAAGGAACAGAGGCTGGATACTGGCCAGCACCCCAAGGTCAGTTCTGGGCCACTCGGCCACCTTCCCAAGAACTCCTTTCACCAGGCTGAAACCCGAAATTACTGCTCACCTGTTGTCCTCTCTGCTGTGCTGCTTCCTTACAAAGGACAAAGTCTGGAAGCTAGTAGCACCTGTCCTTCGTCCTTCCCACTGCTAGGGGGAACTCTTGCTGTCTTTCTTTTATTTTTGATGGTACTGGGGTTTGAACTCAGGGCCTACACCTTGAGCCGCTCCCCCAGCCCTCTTCTGGAATGGGATTTTTGGAGGCAAGGTCTCAGGAACTGTTTTCCTGGGCTTTCTTTGAATCTCGACCCTCCTGACCTTGTGACTGGCTCCATGCAGTATTGACCGGCAGGTCAGCAGCTGTGGAGGGTTTCAGCCTCCTGACCTTGGCCGCCTCTGAATAAAGCTGTTTAGTGATATGGTGACTGCATGCGTGGCTGGGAGGGCAGCGCTGACCAATGCTTCTCCCTCCGCTTGCTCGAGGGTTTTGGGTGTGGTGTGGACACAGGAACGCACTCGTATGGGTTGGATGGACAGCTTTCCACCTGATACGGTGGCACACATGAACTCAGTGTCCCACTCCAGGGCCCATGGCTGACACCGAGAGCACCCACCATCAGCAAGCATGGCAGGTCCCTTGGGTTGTTGGTGGGGTGGGGATGTGGTCTGATGTTTTGTGTAAGGGGTGGCCTTAGACACCCCAGAGGCCAGGACCCCATGAAAGAATGTGCAGAGAAGAAGCCTGTCACCTGACTACTATGTTTTTTTTTTTTTTTATGGTACTGGGGTTTGAACTCAGGGCCTCACATTTGCTAGGCAGGCTCTCTACCACTTGAGACACTCTGCCAGCCTATGTCACCTGACTCTGTAGGACATAGCTCTCATGGAGGAGAGAGGCAGGACCCAGGTGTGGGTTGTCCTCAAATACTATGTTTGGGGGCTCAGTGAGAGAGGTCATTGAGGTCCCATCAGGGGGTGACGGAGACTGGGTTAGAGAACTCACATCCTTTCACCCTATCCACCTGTGAAGGTGAATGGGTGCCTTGGGTGTCAGATGGGAGGGGAAGTACCTTCAGGGCTGGGAAGAGGCTCCTGACCTTGGGAGCAGAGGCTGAGGCTCTGATAGAGACTGAGTGCCCGTGTGATTCAGCAGCTCTGGGATCCATCCACCCCATGCAGCCGGAGGAAACCCCAAGCCTGAGCAGTGGTGAGAGGGTCTCAGTCGTGGCCCGTTCGCTGTCTGAGCTGGGAAACTGGTGAATGTGCTGGGGACTAATGAGTCAAAAGTGGGGCAGAGTTTCTGGGCCCAGGGGTGGCAGTTTCTTTGGTCCGTGGGATGTGGGTCTTAAAGAGAGGGTAGAGGTTCTAGGGAAGCCTAACCTTGGAAGCTTCCAGGCCAGTTCCACAGGCCACGTCCACGATTAGGGCATCTGGAGTCAGGTCTGTAAGGGCTTGACAGGTGGGTGAGACAGGTGCATGCAGGTCACATCCTGGGGACAGAGGTCCCCAGGTTAACCCCTGTGGTGGGGTGCTCCAGGAGCCTGTCAGTTGAACTGGTGTGAGTGGGGGTTGCTTCTTGCTGGGCTACAGTGAGAGGAGACCCAGGGATGAGGTGCCTTCTACCACCAAAGGGCCATATTCAGGACATACTTTAGTCCCTAGACCACAGGGGCTCAGCTTAACAGGGACCTTCTCTTCTGGCCAAGGTAGCTTTCTGCTCAGTCCCCAGTGACCACGCTATGGGCACCTCCTCCAGGCAGCCTTGTGTCTGGATGCAGTCTCTGGCTGGGTAGGTGGTGGCCCCTGACTCTGGCGGCCAATCCAGACTGGAAGGGGCTGGTTAGAGGGTCGGATCATTGTGGGGGGCAGAGGAGGACGGGGTCCCTGCTGGAGCAGGATTGTCAGGCTGTCACCCAAGTCTCACTTCATCTCACAACTTCCCCAGGATGCAAGGCGAATTTTCCCGGCTTTGCACATAGAAAAACCTAGGCGAGGACCCCGGTGGGTTTACCTGGTTGAAG